AACAAACAGAAAAGGAGGACGAGGGCGAGGCATTGGAGAAGGCGGAGGAGGAGGAGGAGGAGGAGGAGGAGGAGGAGGAGGAAGACGGGGATGAGGAGGAGGAGGAGGAGGAGGAGGAGGAGGGCAGGAGGAGGAGGAGGAGAGGGGAGGAGGAGGAGGAGGAGGAGGAGGAGGAGGAGGAGAATGGAGTAGGAGGAGGCGGAGGAGGAAGAGGAGGAGGAGGGGGAGGCGGAGGAGGAGGAGGAGGAGGAGGAGGAAACGGAGGAAGAGGAGGAAAAAGAGAGGATAACCAAGGCCAGGCCTTCCACTCTTTTTGGCAATGGCCAGCTTCCCTCCAGTCGCTTCAGCTCTGGCGACCTCGCCACAGCTGCCTCAGGCTCGCTCTGGCCCCTGCCAGTTTTGAGTTTTGTCGAGCATCTGGCCACTTCGCTGTCGTGGAATTTCTACTCCTGTGGGTTTGTTGGGTGCCTCTTGGGGCCGCCTCAGCAGCTCTCGGGGGCTCCTTGGGCCGTCTGAGAGCGCTCGTGGGCCATCTGGGCGCTTTCGGGGTGCGTTTTGGAGGGCTCTCTGGGTAGTCCTGGGACCTTGTTGTCGGCACGAACGAATAGGTACGGAAGGAATGGGTACGATGCCCAACAGAAGTTCCCGTTCATTTTGAACCCGACTCGCTGTCTTCGCCGCCGCGGACGTTGCCCATTAGAGCCAGAAGGCCGCTTGCCCAACAGCGGCCGCTTCTGGTTTTGTATAATACTTGTTGTTGGGCATCCTACCAATTTTTGTCCCTACCCAGTGTGGGCTTGCAAGTCTTTGGGATTCTGAGGGCCGTATGAGGGACCCTTTGGGCTTCCACCTCTTCTAGCTCTTATGCGGTGGGGCTCTTCCCCTCCATCCTCCTGTAGCCGCCCCTCCCCCCCTCCCCTCCTGGCATCGGGCCCCGCTCGGCGGCGTGCGCTCCATGCCAGCCGACCGCCTGGGAATGCGCCCCCGGCCGCTGGCCCCGAACAAGTGCTGCCGGGGTCCCCGCCAGCAGCGCCGCGGGCACGCCTCCTTCTCTTTGTGTGTGTGGTTATTACACATCTATCAGCCTCTCCTCCTCCTGCGCCTCGGTCTCACCTCCCTTGCCCTGCTGCTGCTCTGGTTCGCAGGGCCCCTGAGTTACTTGGCGCGCAGGCGCGGGCGCGCGCGAGCCCTCGTTAAAGGAAAGAGAGCGTGCTCTCTCTTAGCACGGGCCCCCCTACTTGTACTTCGTGCCTCTATGTATGCCATACAGCTACTCCAGTACATTCCTTATTCTGCTTCCCCTATCAACATGTGACTACTGGTTGTGCGCAATAGCCAGGTGGCTGCCGCAAGAAGGATATCGACTCCCCCGTCATCTTGGGCTCCGCCTGCAGCTGCAGTGAGGGCGCAAATGCGCGAATTACCACCGCCCAGTTGGGGATACCCTTCACACGGACCATGCCCCCACAGCCCCCGCTGGGGGATCAACCTGCGGTCGCCGTGGGCGCAAACGCATGCCGCGGCGCGCTCATTCCGTTGCGCCCTTAAATTTGGGCCGATGTTTCATAACAAGGGGGCTCCATCAACGCTTCACTGGGCGCAGACGCATTCCGCGGCGCGCTCATTTCGGCGCACCGTTTCACACGGATCGTGGCTCCACAGCGAGTTCCGCCTACGGTATCCATGGGCGCCGATGCTTGCCACAGCGCGCTCTTTCCGTTGCACATCCCATGGGGATCGTGGCCCCATAGGGAGCTCCAACTACGGTCCCAGTGCGCTCACACGCATGCCGGGCTCACTTTTTTTTCGGCACGCTTCTCATTCAGATCGTGTCCCCATGGGGATTCCACGGCCGCAGTGGGCGCACACGCATGCGGGGGTGCGCCCATGACAGCACACCCATCGCGCGTATCGTGGACCCCCGTGGCCATCCCAGCACATTCCTCGCGCAGCTCGTGGCCCCATAAGGAAATGCACCTGCTGTGGGCGCAGACGCGCACCTGTCGTGCCGACCTTGGCCCCGCAGGCCGCTTCACATACGGTGGCACCAGGCGCCTGCGCTTGCGGGCCCGCGCTCATATCGGCACACCCGTCACATAGATCGTGGAGTTCCAGGGGTTAAAAGATCGTTTGGGCCCCCTGCGTTTTTAAGGAACAGCTACATGGGCCGCAGTGCGCCCCCTTTATGTTTTTTTCGGGGGCTGAGGGAACCGAAAGGTGAATAGCGAGGCGTCGGCATCGCCAGCAGCAAGCGGAACGGCGATGGCGATGATCGACAAAGCTTTTCGCAATCAGCTCGGGGCGCTGCGGCATGGCGTTCGCAGGGGGAACCCAGGGTAAGATAGTGCCACGTTCTAGAATGCGAATGCGCTTCCGATAAAATGCCTCAACAGCCTTGCACCGCCCGCACATCTAGTGTTGCCACCTACCTCTTACCAGCTTCCTGCCAATGCCCCTCTTACTCTTGCTTACCATATCCTTCTTGTCAAGCATCGCGAGCCTTCCCCATTCTCTCCAGTCACTTTCCCTCTCACTAGTGTCGTGCTGTGTTATTGTCCTTTCGTGTCACCCGGTCGTGCCATATAGTTCTTGAGCGTTTCAGAAAATTGATGTTTGATTTCAGTTGTATACACATGCATCCACACGAAGATATAATAAAAGAGCCTTACAGAAGCAGTCAAGGATAACTCTGCAGCAAGGACAACGATGAGAAACACATGCGACAGGAAACGACAAACTGTCCACACAACATGGAACAAGATGAGACGCACGCCAATTTAAGAAACCATCGAAAAGGGAACTAATGAGAAATCCTTGCACTGGCAGACCATAAGACATTCACACAACAGGAAGCAACACAAAAAGACCGACGAAAGGAAATCAACAAGAAATCAACAAACAGGGAAACAATGCGAAAATCCAGCACACACAAAACAACAAAACAAACATAAATCCACACGACGGGACACTGTAAGAGAATCAACACAACAGGAAGCAACACAATGCTCTACACAAAAGGAATAAACCGTCACACTCGGAACCAATGAGAAATTCGTCCGAGGGAACCGACAAGGGTAGCCACACCAAGGGAAACACTGTGACATCCGCAAAGAAGCACAATCGGAGAATCCATACGCACAAGGAAACCATAAGGAGCCCACACAAGGGAATGCAACCAGAGAATACAAACAAAGAGAAACAACAAGAACAGCCATGCCTATACACACAAACATGTGTGAATCCATACGATATGAAGCATTGGCCGATCGCACACACACACACACTAGGAAACAACACGCAGTACCGAAACCAAGCACTAAGGCTTTACATAACGCAAGCGAATAGGAAAGAAGAAGACAGTCCACACGACCGACAACCATACGAAACCACTTCAACACTACGCCTCCTCCTCCTCGTCATCATCATCACCATCATCTCTCTATGTTGTTTCTCCCTGTCGTATGTGTTTATAGGTATATATATACAAATATACATGTATATATTGATTACTCTATCCCTCTCCCCGTCTCTCTCTCTCTCTCTCCATTTACTCGCTCTCTCTCTATCTCTCTCTTTCTCTCTATCTCTCTTTCTCTCTCTCCTCTCTCTCTGTATGTCTCTCTCTCTCTCTCTCTCCATCTCTCTCTCTCTCTCTCTCTCGCTCTCTACACGCAAAAACACCCACATTGCCCACTCCTGTATGGAAAATCTCGCCCCCCTTCTCCTTCTCCTCCTCCTCCTTCTCCTCCTCCTCCTCCTCCTCCTCCTCCTCCTGCCGCCTGCTCCTCCTTCCTCCTTCCTCCTGCCCCTCCTCCTCCTTCCTCCTTCCTCCTGCCTCCTCCTCATCCTCCCCCTCCTCATTCCTCCTCCCCCTCCTCTCCCTCTTCCTTCGCTTTCTCCCTCCTCCTCCTCCTCCTCCTCCTCCCTCCCCCTCCTACTAAACAGAATCCCCGTGCGGAGAAGAATCAAGCCACACCATTGGTAAAAGCAAACAAACAAGCAAACAACAACAATCCTGGGGGACCCCCCCCCTCCACCCCACCCCCCAGGAAGTTCGCGAGGATTGTTTTTTTTGTTTTTTTTTTTTTTGATTTTTCTTATGGTTTTGCTTCATTCCGCCTTCGATAGGGGAATCTGATTGGGAGGAGGAGGAGGAGTGGGAGAAGGAGGAGGAGGAAGAGGGAGGCGGACGAGGAGGGATGCACTCACCTCCTTCCTTATGCTACAAAGGGAGGAGGTGACAGAGAGGCTTTTTTGATAAAATCTGAAAATCGCGGGAGTCCGAAACTGATCTGAAACTTGAGGTGGAATACGCCATTTCGTTGTTCTTGAAAACGCAGGGGGCCCAAATGATCCTCAAACCGTTCCAGGTACGGTTGCAGTGGGCGTCGGCTCGCGCCCACTTCGGTACACCATCTTTTCCGATCGTGTCTCAAGGAGGTCTCGTGGAGCCCCACGTACGGTCCAGCGATCGCGGTCGCATGCGGGCCCCGCCCTTTCGCGCGCATCGCTGTCCCACAGGTGGCTCAGTTCGTTTGCGCGCCCTTCTTTTAGAGCACCCTACCCGCAAGAGCTCGCACCGCGCAGTATCTGATGCCCCCATCACCCCATTGCTTGTTCCAGGTATTTGGAATTCACCTGTGCGAGTGTGATCCAGGAAGTTGGAACCAAAAGCAAAGACACCATTATACGCCCAGGAAGTTGCCTGGCTGGTGTAAACTGCCCAGTTGTTGCCTGGTTGTTGCAAAGTGATGTGTTATCTAGTTTCGTGAAATTGTCCGGTTGCCCGATTCTTTTGAGTTCATCATCTCAGATGGCATATGTTGGCATGTGTACGTAAATAGCACATGACGGTACGCTGCAATCAGGCATTTTACAGTTCACTGAGGGTGATGTGCCGCACGCTGAACTCATTTCTGATTTGGCGGTGGGTTTATGTCGATTTGATGTGTCCGATTGAGCGCATCCAGTTGTTCAGCAATGGCGAAATGTAGAGACAGGTCCTTAACGCGGACGACGCCCTGGAATTGTTCAAGAAGACATTACCAGCGCCTTCTGCCAGCCTCGTGCAGATCCAGGAGATAGCGCCTTGGGAGTTTGGAATCGCAGTCGGAGACTGCAAACGGAGACAGGTTGGGAACCGGCGGGGGGACATTTGGAACAGGGAGTTTCCAATGAATTGAGCATATTGGGGTATCGGTGAGAAAAGGATGGCAGGATAGGGAACTCGATTGATGATAATTTGGTTCGCTTCGAGCCCGCGCAGTCGCCAAATATTTACACTGTAGCGTTGACAACTTAGTTTGGGATTCCTTTGCGTCGCATATTACACCCCAGGGCCCAACATTTGTCAGCGTGCACTGAGGTCGATATTGCGCCTGTTCAGTGCAAGCATCAGTCTACATCCGTGATCCGCAGGCATCGTATAACATTTTCACAAACTGACACAGTTCGCGCCAGTCCCAAAGTCGGTGCTCGTGCGCCGCTTGCCGATAACGATGGCAACGGCGGTCATCCGGGAATAGGTCTGAGCTCGGATTCATTGTAATCATATTGTTGTCATATCAAGATGTGGCTCACGTTGGCAACTCCAATCGAGGCTTCTGTCATCGTAATGTCGCTGCGCCTGACGCATGCATACTCTGCGTTAGCCATAACCTTGTGCGACTAATCCATGGGGGGTAAGACAGTTCGGCATCCAGGCGGGATAATCAACTTTTCCCGAAGATATCGATGTGAAGATGTCTGGATCGCGTTTCGCCTGAGACATCCTCACAATCAGAGCTACGATTGAAATGAATGGGCTTGTAGAGTTTGGCCTCCCCGCCTGCTGTTTCAATTGAACCGCGCTCAACTCTGTGTACTAGAGATACAAGGGGGAACGTGGGGATGCTTTATTATCCGAGGGATGCGATTCCATGTTGCCAGGAACCGCCGACGCCCACCGAAGACCGCCAGCGAATGTCAGAATATCAAATCAAAGGCACCCTGGGCTCACGGGCAAAAAGGGGGCTCATGGTGGAATGTGCAGCGTTGCGTTTCGTGATGAGCGTGATGGGTCCCACCTTGGCAGGGATCGGCCGTTCCTCGTCGCGCACGGGTGACGCTGCGCTGTCGGCGCCAAGGTTGTTGGCTTGGGCGGTTTCCCTCCGCGCTTTGTCGGGAGAACGCCGAGTGTGCCAACATCGGTCTCCGACGGGCGACGGGCGATTCGGAGGAGCACAACTGCACATATCCACCGCGCCCCCCCCCCCCCTTGCTCCCTCCCATCAGGGAGGAGAACAACGGGAGGAGGAGGAGGAGGAGGAGGAGGAGGAGAGGAGGAGGAGGAGGAGGAGGAGGAGGGAGGAGGCAGGTGGACCTTTATAGCTGCTCGACGGACGACAGACGTCGGCGGACACAAGAGGACGATAGACGGCGGAGATATCGGCGAACACGGCGAAGGTCAGAGAAGAACACATTACATAGACGTAAAATGTTGGAGCTCCAAGGAAGGGGGGCCAGCGCCGATCCAGGAAATCCGCGCGGAGCTCTGAGTCTTAGTGTTCGTGGAGTTCTGTTTGTTCTAAGGGAGGAACTGCCACGCCGACCCCCATACTTGGGGTTTACTGAACAGTCATGGGCGTTCACTGACCATGCTTGCCTTGCCGATCCCTTCATTGGGTGTGCTTGCTATAGGGCGGTTGCTCGACCGACGCTTGCTCGCTTGCGTCCGCGGACCAAACAACATATATTGCTTTGGGGCATCGCTTGCCGCGGTGCTTCTTGTGAGGATGATTAATCTGTCTTCTATCGAAGACGCCTGCGGCGAATCCCCGCCGCCCCCTGCCTTTGTGGAAGCGCCTATGTGTCCGACAGCTGGGCTAGAGCTTGGCCAAGCTATCGGACCATGTGTTCCCCGAGGCGGTTTGGAAAGGTTTCGGGGAACGCGGAGGGGAGGAAGGGGAGGAGGAGGAGAAGGCGGAAACAGGAGAAGGGGGAGGATGCCTCCTCGGAGCCTTTTGAGGCACTCTTGGGCTCGATTGGACCATCTTGGGACCGTCTTCGAGGCCATGCTGGGGCTAACTTGGGCTCTCTTGCGGCCTCTTGAGGGCCTCCTGGGGCCCTGTTGGGGCTTCTCGGGGGCTCCTTTGGCCGTCTTATGGCGTTCCTGGCCCGTCTGATGCCGTCGGGAGCCGTCTTGGGGGCGGGCGCTTCGGGTCCGTCTTGGAGGCCATCTTGGGCGTCTTGGAGGCCTCTTGGGCCGTCTTGGGGCCCTCTTGGGACCTTCTTGGGGGCTTCTTGGGCCGTCATTGGGTCATCATGGAGGCCTCGTGAGCGATTTTGGGGCGATATTTGAGGCCTCTTGGGCCGTCTTGAGGTCTTCGGAAGACCGAAAAGAAGTAAATGCCAACATCTTTCCAACAATCTAAGGAAAACCAATGATTTGGGCCTCTTCGGGCTCTCCTTGAGGACCTCTTGGAGGCGATCTCAGGCCGTCTTGGAGGCATCTTGGGCCATTTTGGAGGCATCTTGGGCCCATCCGAGACATCTTGGAGGCCATGTTGGCCGTCTTGGAGGCGTCTTGGAGGCCATATTGGGCCGTCTTGGAGCCCTCTGGAGCAGGAACAACCCTTTGCAACCACCTCTGCAGAATCTGGAAGATCTTTCCGGGTGGCCGGCGGGACGGGCCGAAGCCCCAGCCCCAGGGGGAGTTCTTTGGGGAAAAAACCAAAACCAAAACCGAAAGGAGCTAGCACGCCAGGCACCCTTGCGATGAATGACGGAAAGCGCGCGTAGCGTGCGATCCGTTAGGCGGAAGAAATGAAACTAGGGGGAGTTTGAGGAGGTGGCATTTGCATTGCAGGGTCTAATGGCCCGCCCTCTTCCATGTTAACGGAGCCCTTAACAGGGAAAATCGGGTGTTTCCGTTTCCCTGTTGAGCAGGGAGATTACACGCTCGGGCTTTCATTTTTTTTGTAAACGGAGCCCTTAACATGGGACATCGGGTGCTTAACATGCACGTTCGGGCACCCTTTTCCATGTTAACGGAGCCCTTGACATGGATTTAACATATAAGAGTGCTTGCACGTGATTGTCTGTGACCCTCCGTCTCCGCTCAAGTGCATGAGCGTGGGCCGGTCCATGGCCCCTGGCGCCTCCACGAGCCTGGCGGTGGGCGCCGCGGTCGGCGCTCCGGCGGCGTGGGCGGGGCTGCGCCTGCTGGGAGCTTGGCTGGGGGCGCTGATCGCGGCCTCGACCACGTGCCCAGCCTGCGTCTGCCAGGCGCCCGCGGCACCGCCGCCGCCACCGCCGCCGCCGCCGCCGCCCGTGGCGGCAGGCATCGCGGCCGCGGTGGTGGAGGAGCTTGGGCCCTGGCTCGCGAACGCCTCGCCCGCTCCGGCGATCTGCCCGAGCGCGGAGGCGGTGGCGGCGGCGCTGCTGGAGCGCCTGCCGCCGCCGCCCGGGCCCGCGGGGCTCCCGCCGGCGGCTCCGCCGCTTGAGGCCGGCCCGGCCCTGGAGGAACAGCCAAACGCCGTGACGCTGGTGGCTGTGGGCTGCGCTGTGGGAGAGCTGGTGCTGCTCGTCGTGTGCTGCCTGACGGCTCGTGCGCAGAGGAATGCTGGGTCTCCGGCGTCGTCGCGGCGTCCGTACCCTGTGGCCGACCGGAGCCAGCGCCGAGGTGGCGGAGTGGTGCGCTGAGCTGCGCCGGGGGCTCCGCGTGGGGTTCTGGTACCGCCGGGACACGGTGTGGCACGAGCGCCTGCTGCTGTACCCGGCGGGTGGCACCTACTGGTGGGTGCTGACGCCGGACGATGACGTCTACGTCGAGGTCGTCGCGGGGGTGACTGGGGACGGATGCTCGCGGGCCTTCGCGTGCACGCCAGACGGGGCGCCGCCAGCGGTGGCCCATGGGAGTTTCTACCGCTTCCGAGCCCCAGTGTCGCCCGCCCGGTCAGAGCCCTCATCCTCGAGGGCAGGACCGAGCAGGGGGCGCACGCGGGTGCGACGCTGGAGGGCCCCGCCGTGTTCTACAGCTGGGACGGCGCTCGCACGGCCTTCTCAGGGCTACGCCGCCGCCTCCCGCTGCGCAGCGCCGCAGGGGAGCCCGACGGGACGGCGACCCCGCCGCTGGCGCCCGATGGCGAGGCGGCCCCCTTGGCCGACGCCGCGGCTGACCGTCCTCCAGAGACAGCCGCCGACTACGAAGCCCCGGAGGGCTGCGTCTGGATGGTGGCCTCTTTGGGCCCAAAGCCGACCTGTCTGGAGATCGAGTTGGCGGCGGGCGGCGTGCGGCTGGGCCGCGGCCACGCCATGATGCAGTTGGCGAGCGGCTGGCAGCTCCTAGAGGCGGTCAGGCGGGACGACCGTGACGACTTCCGCTGCCGCAAGGCCAAGGAGGTGACCGAACAGATGGAGGCAGACCTCGGGCTACCCGGGGCCCCAGCGCCTGGAGGTGCCGGGGCAGCGGCTGCAGAGGCCCCAGAGGCCGCCGAGGAGCGCGACCTGCGCGACCGTCTGGGCGTGCCGCCGGCCATCAATAACGGGCCGCCCGCCGAGGCGGAGGACATCAGGACGTTGTGGGTGCAGCACGACGACCACGGAGAGCGGCGCGTGCCATGGCGTGAGGTCGTCCGGGAGGCGAAGCGATACACGTTCAAGGACTGGCCGCTGGACGTCTCCACGGTCGAGCACATGATCAAGACGTGGGACAAGAGCGACGGCGACCCGCTGCTGTGGCTAGAAGTACGGGGCGCGGGACAGGCTGCTCTCACACTCGGACAGGAGCTACATGTAGATGAAGTGCCTGCTGACCGCCATCTACTACGCGGGCACCTATGACCAGGTGAATCTGGCGAGCATGGCGAGCATCGAGGTGCTGTGCCGCCGCGTGTCCACGATAGCAGAGGCCTACTCAGGCGACCCGAGCAGGGGTCCGAAGTGGGCTGGCCTCAAGCACTTCATGGGCACCACCAGCCCCCTGGACATCGTCGACCCGACGCTGCGCACCACGGTCTTCCGCAAGAGCAAGGAGGAGATGGAGCTGGAGAACTAGAAGATGTGGGCCGCCGGCGTGCTGCCGCCCAGTCCGCTGGCGGCCGCGGCGGGGGAGGGGCCCCCCGACGGCGGCGGTGGCAGCGCGGGCCGCAGCGCTGAGGACGGCGGCGGCGGGCGCGGCGGCGGCCGGGGCCGCGGGGGCGACAAGGGAGCAGGACGTGACGGTGGGCGCAGCGGAAAGCTGACCGCGCCCGCCAGGGGGCGAGCCTGCCTGCTGGCGGAGGCGGGCGACCCGCCGGCGATGATCAGCCCAGTCGCGAAGTCGGGGTGGATTTGCTCGAGCTGCCCCCCCTGCCAAGGCCCCGCGACATCAAGAGTTGCGATGGCCGCCCTCAGAGCCGCGAGGGAAGCAGGCTTGCCAGGCGAGCCCGCTGCGACTTCAACGATGCGGCGGGCGCCTTGAATTGGCTTGCGAACCGGCAGGACACCGGCGCCAAGCCGAATTTTGACCAGCAGAGGGTGCACGCGCGGATCATCGACCTCGTGGCGGACAGCATGCCGCCCTTGGAGACCGCGATCCCCTCGCCGCGGGCGGCCTTCAACGAGCTGCTGCACGGCCGGGGTGTCTACGACGAGTCGGCCGGACGGAACATCGGGCGTCTTCGCAACGTGGGGCAGATATCCTTGCCTAAGACCGCGGTGGAGGGACCGCGGCTGATTCAGATCGCACCTGCCCATGCACGCCAGCACCTCGAGGACGGTTCTTCTCGGATGCTCGTGCCAAGCGACGAATTTGATCATCGACTCGATAGTTGCGATGTGATCCCGCACTGGGATCCCTCTCTTGCGCGCAACAGGAGGCTGCACATGCGATTCATCAGGCTGCTCAGACCGAAGGGGATGTTTGTCTTCCTAGACGAGTCCGAGCGGCGCGAGGAGGTCGGAGTTTCCGCTGCCAAGAAGAGCGACCAGCTCCGCATGATCGTGGGCGCGCGGAGGAGTTACCTCCACTTCACCTCCCCTCCGGGCGTGGCACTGGTCACCGCCGAGGGGCTCGCGCGGGTGGAGGCGGGGCTCGACGGCGGCGGCGTGGCCGGTGCGGCGGAGGGCTTCACGTTGGGGACGTCTGACATCAGCGACGCCTTCCACCGTTTCCGCGTCGACCGCGAGCTGTCGGGCTACTTCTGCACGCGGCCGGTGCTCGCCGGAGAGGTGGGGCTGGCCGGCACCGGGCTGGGCGGCCGTCGTCTGGAGGCCGACGCCCGGCTGGTGCCGGCCTGCGCTGCGCTGCCCATGGGCTTCACCTGGTCGCTGTTCTTCTGCCAGGAAGCGGGGGGGTCGATGATGAGCGACACTCCCGAGCTTGCAGGGGTCCCCCAGATAAGTGACCGGGGCCCCACCGCGGTGCTGCAGCCGGCCAGGCCGTTGGACCATGGCGGAGGAGCGCAGTACACCTACGTCGACAACCTGGGCGTCATGGGCTTTGACGCCGCCGCGGTGGCGGACTGCCTGGGCGCCACCACGACCCGGTTCAATCAGGCCGGGCTCGTGACCCACGAGACGGAGCTCCAGGAGGGCCGCGGGCGCTGGGCTGCGTGCTGGACGGCAAGGCGCTGAGCACTCGCCTCACGGCGAAGCGCTACTGGCGGGTGAGGCAAGGGCTCAGCTGGGCCCTCAGCTGCCGGGCTCTTCCTGGCTGGGCTCGGGAGGTGGTGATCGGGCATTACACGTACTGCGCCATGTGCAACCGCGACTTGCTGCCTGCGTTCACCGCCGTCTACAAGTTCATCGCTGCGAACTACAGCCAGGGCGCCGCGCTGTGGGCTAGCGCCCGCGCGGAGCTCGTGGCCTTTCGAGGGCTGATGCCGCTGCTGCGTGGCGACTGGGCCCTCCCCTGGAGCGAGTTGGCGTGCCTGTCCGACGCCTCGGAGCATGGGCGCGCGGTGAGTGCCTCCCTCTTTGATGAAGCGGAGGTGAAGAAGATCGGTCGGGTGCAGGAGCGATCGCTTCCGGCGCCTGGGCGGCCACTCGGCGCGTGCCCACTTCTTCGCCGTGAATAGGAATGCCATGACCCTCGGCGGGGCTCTCAAGCCGGTGTCCGAGCTGGAAGAGGGAGACGCCGTCGCGGGCGATGCCGAGTGGGGTGTGAATCCAGCTTTCGAGGAGATGCCGGCGGGGATCTTCATGGGCGCCCTCTGGACTGAGCTAGTCGCCCGAGGGTGGCATAATACCACGGAGGATATTTTAGCATACGAGTCTCGTGCTTTGCTTCGAGCGGTCGAGATACAGCGTAGCCTGTCGCCGAGTGTCGACGAGCATCTCGTCGTGATGAGTGACAACCTGCCTCTAGTACTTTGCTTCGAGAGGAGGAGAGCGAAAAACTTTGTCGTCCTGTCCTTCATCAGAAGGGCTGTGGCGCTATGCCTGGCCCTGAACAAGCGGCTGCATGCACGGTGGGTTCCCAGCGAGCTCAACCCAAGCGATGAGGGATCACGATTGTTTGACCCCAAGTACGACCCCTCGAAGACCCTAGTGAACTCCTGGGAAATTCGTGACAACGACGGTGGTCGAGCAATAAATCGTAGGCTTACTCAACGTGAAGCGGAGCATCATAGAGCACATGAGCATCATCATAAAGCACATGAGCGCCATCGTACAGCACATGAAGCGGAACATCATCGAGCACATGAAGCAGAGCATCACAGAGCACATGAACCGCGGAGCCCGCCATTGCAGGGCTCACTACATCATCATAGAGCACGTGGGCACCCCATCAGGACCCAAGAGGCCTCCGCGGGCACGAACGATCAGGACGACCAAGGGGGCTTGTCTTCCAGGCCTCTTCGGGCCCATGGCGCAGGACTTCCAGCAGCAGCCACAACTAGCAGAGCACCGTGGCCACGCTCGGCTCGAAGCACTTCTCCTGCGGCAGGGGCCGTGGCAGCTCCCGCCGCAGGCGCCCAGGGCTCGGCGCGCGCTGATGAGTCAGCGCCAGCGGCGGCTGCGGCCAGACAGCGACGACGGCGCGCCCGCGCCCGAGAGGCCCGAGCGGCGTGCCGAACGCTCGCGGGCCTTGTCGCCGAGCGTGCTGCCCCCGCCGCTGGCCCCTCCGCCGGGGGCAGCCTCCGCGCTGCAGCGGCGCCGGGCGCTGGGGCCTCCGCTGGGCCTGGCGGCGCGGCTGCTGAGGCCGCCGCCGATCGCGCGGGCAGAGGGCAAGGAGAGCGGCGCCACGACCGACCCAGAGGACGAGAAGAAGGCGTCAAGCCGGCTCGTCGTGGACAGCGAGGTGGACGCTGCACTCGTGCACTACATAAACGGGCTGTTCAAGGAAAAGCATGGGGAGAACCGTGGCGATGTCCTGCTGTCTGCACTCCTGCACTTCCAGCCACAGTATGGCAAGCTTGGCAGCTGGCGCCTCCCCCGGGCCTGGCGCGCCCTGAAAGGGTGGCGACGCCGTTGTGGGAGGCGCTCACGCAATCCCGTCGTGAGGACGATTTGGCCAGCGGTGACCTGGGACCTTTGTTGCAGGGGGCTCAAGCTGATGGGGCCCCACGTGGCCGGGAACATCGTGACGCATCGCAGGCCCAGCGAGCCCTTGACCACCCAGCGCCGCGACCTGGTCAAGCCAGTGAAGGGCGGCGCGGACGAGTGGTCGGGGATCTTGTTCCCAGGCAGCCGCGCCGCCCCCCGCAGGAACGAGATGCAGGACGAGGGCATGAGCCTGGCCAACAAGCTGCACCCATGGCTGCCGCGAGTGGTCTCATCGCTTGCGCCAGGTGCCCCAGAGTCCAGGCTGTCCCCGCACAGCTATCCAGAGCTTGTGGCCGAGTTCAACCGCACACAAGCGAGGCTGGGGCACCGCTCGCTGGTACTCTACCAGGGGCGCCACTCGGGGGCGTCGCTGGACCTGCAAGGACGCCACCGCGACCACCTCGAGTTCAAGAAACAAGGAGGGTGGCAGTGCGAGTCGTCCCTGAAGCGGTACGAGAACGCTGCCAGATCGAACCCGTCCGCCTCGAAGCTGATGCCTGCCCACGCGGCCCAGTTCAAGAAGGCCGACGCCCAGCTCGAGGCGCTCTCCTTCGGCCGCGTGGCCGCCCAGCCCTTCGTGCCTCTGTGAGCTCCCGACCCTACTTCGCCGACCTTTTTCTGTTGGGTCGGTGGCGTCGGACGCGCCATCAGCAGGCGAGGCTATGCGGCCAGGCTGTGGGATCTCAAGTATGGCGAAATCTCGACCTTCCAGACTACCGTGTACTTCGTGCGATTGAAAAAGACGCTTCTGCTGGGCTCATCCTTGGAGCCGCGCTGGCGACAGAGTGTGCGAGCTTCTCCATCGCCCGCACGCGGACCAGATTCATCCGAACTTCTGCGACGCCGTGGGAAGTCAAAGACCGAAGCCAGTTCAGTGAAAAGGACCATGTTGCTTTGAGAAGAGGCAACAGGTTGATGAAGGCGACCCTCCTATTGATTCGAGTATTCAACAGGTATCATACCCCGTGGTTCCTGGAAAATCCTTACAGTAGTATGATGTGGAAAATCCCAGCATTGCGCAAATTGGCTACCGCGCCGCACAGCAAAAACGTGACAGTTGACTTCTGCAGTAACGGCACGCGGTGGCGCAAGCGTACGCACTTGCTTTTCGGGAATACTTCAGCATGTTGTGTTCAACATTTGCAACACCACCTCTGTCAAGGCCGAGGAGTGTGCTCATGCACTGTCAAGCCTCGCATCGAGCTGTCAGGCCCGCGCCCGACTCGTCGAGTGCCGTGGGAAACGGTGGCGGAGCCCTATCCCTTGGGCCTCTGCCGTGACCTCGCCACTGCCCTCATCTCCGCCTACGTCGTCATAAAACACAATCCGTGATATGGGAGTGATCTGGGAGCTCAGATTTCTTTTATCCGCCAAGGGGCGGAAGCCTGCAGGTGATGTGCCACGACCCGGCCATCTGTATAAGCTCTCGCCTTCCTGTGCTGAACGATGCCGTGCCGTGTTTCACGAGACATATTCGCTGAAACTAAAATGAGGAGGGTGCAAACAGACATAGGAGTGCTTGCACGTCATTGTCGGTGATCCCCCGTCTCCGCTCAAGTGCACCCGTGGCTTGCCCTCCGCCACGAGTGCTCTAACGTCGCACTGTTTAGATTTCTTTCACCCGCCAAGGGGCGGAAGCCTGCAGGTGATGTGCCACGACCCGGCCATCTGTAGAAGCTCTCGCCTTTCTGTGCTGAACGATGCCGTGCCGTGTTTCACGAGACAAATTCGCTCATACTACAATGAGTAAGGTGCAAACAGACAAGGAAATTCGGGTGACGAGCGCGTTTTTCCGTGTTAACGGACCGTTAACAGGGAAATTGCACGCTGAGGTCCAATGGCCAGACCCCCCCCCCGAGACGGCCCAAGAGGCACCCAAGACGGCCCAGGAAGCGTTCAAGGTGGCCCAAGAGGGGCCGAAGAAGAGCCCAAGGGGGCTCCAAGAGAGCGCAAGAGCGCTCTAAGAGACCCCCAGACCGTTCAAAAGCGTTCCAAGATTGCCTCCTCCAGACCGTCGAAGAAGGGTCCGAGGCGGCCCAAGATGGCTCCAAGAGGCGTCCCAAGAGAGCTCCGACAGGCAAAGCTCATTGATGTTTCATGTGTTTTGAAGGTTTTTCTTTTGGTTCTCACTTTATTGGGCCAAGGCCCAAAACGGCCCAAGAGACTCTAAATGTCATCCCAAGACGGCCCGAGAGGCCCCCAACAGGGCCCGAAAACGGTCCGAGGCGCCCCAAGCCGTCCCAAGAGACAACGGCAACGTAAACATCTCTGAACATCGCGGCTCCCAAGAGCGAGCAGTGACGTTCACAAATCGATAAGACCAAGGATCCCAACAGAGCGGTGACGTAACAAGTTCTTGACACCAGGGCCCGAAACGAGCGGTAACGTAAGCTCCGCGTAAGCTCCGCGTAGGCTTCGCGTAAGCGCGTAAAGTCCTCGTCAAGTTGATGTACCTTCAAGACAGTTCATGAGAGGCCAAGCATCCTCCAAGACGGTGCAAGATACCTCCAAGACGACCCAAGAGGCCAGAGGCCCGTACGATCGCCCCAAGATGGCCCAAGATACCCCCAAGACGGCCCCAAGACGTGTTCGAACATCTGCACGTATGCAGACGGCTTCAACGGCCTACAAAGTGGCGCAGAGAGGCCCAGACGGGCCCGAGGACGGCCCAAGAGCGATCCAGATACACGACGGCCTCAATACGGCTCATCTGGTCTCCAAGACCCCCCCCCCGAGCACCGATGGGCGGTCTAAGCGGGAAACAAAAACGAAAGTAGGACTTTCGCCGCCCGGGGAGCGCCCTTGGCCCCGCACTACCTGCATACGTTCCTCGCCAGCTTAAGGCACCTCCAAGACGGCGTGAGAGAGGCCCAGACGGGACCGAAGACGGCCCAAGAGCGATCCAAGATAGCCCAAGATGGCTTCAGCACAGCGCCGGAAGCTTCCAAGGCACCCCAAACGGCACCCGAGAGGACCCCCCAGAGTGCTGGAGGACGAATAAACCATTGTTGGCTTTAGGTTTATGAAGGTTATCCAGCTCCTCGCCTTTTGGGGCAAGAACGGCCCGATACAGCTTCAGAACCCCCGAGATTGTTCCATGACGGCCCGAGAGGCTCCCAAGAAAGCTTGAGGACGGCCCAGAAGGGACCCAAGAGGGCCTAAGAGAGCCACAAGACGGCCCAAGGAGGGTCTGGGAGACGCCCAAGATGCCCCCAAGAGACAGTATGTCGTCGTCATCATCATCAACAGTATTTTCCTAATTTGTGTTTTATCGCGCGCTAGTGCCTTCCCAAGATACCAACACGCCCTGGTTCCCCTCAAGAGGCCTCCTGCAGCTTCGAGATAGCCCTAAAGGGCGCCCAACATGCCACCAAATGCCCCAAAAGAGCCTCCAGACGGGGAGACAGAGAGAAAGAACGGGCAAGCCAGCACACCTCGCGCTCTGAAAGTAAATGCGCTTTCCGTCCCCGTGCCAAGCAGGTTGACAGGGGGCGGCGGTTGACGGAAAGAGCGTTCACGCGGTTCTTTTCTTGGTAGGGCGTCAGCCCAAGGGGGGGGGTCCAGGGGGGGGGGACGGGCGGGCGAAAAGTCGAATCGCCTTCCGGCCTCATTATTCATCGAGTGGGATGGCCCTGTGGGCGGCTCGATGCCCACGACGGCCCAAGAGGGCCCAAAGAGGCTCCCAAGAGGGACGCAAGACGGCCCAAGAGGGTCTAGAGGCTCCCAAGAGAGCCCCAAGAGGGCCCTAAGAGGCTCCCAAGAGGGCCCGAAGAGACCCCCAAGAGAGGCCAAAGTCTTCCAAGACGCCCCGAAAGTGCCCCAAGTCGGCCCAAGCGGGCCCCAAGACGGCCCCCAATGATCCCAAAACGACCCCCAAGAAGGTTCGGATGCACCACATAACAGAGGTTTCCAATAGCTCACAGTGACGTCATAAGCTCACAACACCATGGCTCCTCATCATAACGACGACTGGCGTAAGAAACAACTCTTAGGAGGAGGGGCACCACGAACAGGAGGAGGAGGAACAAGAGCAGGAGGAGCAGCATAAGGAGGCGGGAAGAGGAGGATGAAGAGGACGAGGATGGAGGCGGAGGAAGAGGAGGAGGAGAGGAGGAACACGAGTAGGAGGAGGAGGAGGAGGAGGAGGAGGAGGAGGAGGAGGAGCAAGCAGAGGAGGAGGAGGAGGAGGAGGAGGAAGAGGATGAGCAAGAAAGAGCAGAAGAATGAGGAGGAGGAGGAGGAGGAGGAAGAGCGCTGATTTTCGATTGGTTGGTGAACAAGGAGGAGCAGAAGCAGGAGCAGGAGGAGCAGGAGTAACAATGCTCCGAAGAGTGAGTGTCGGCGCAAAAGGCTCTTAATACCAAGACTCGAGAAACGAATGATGCCATGAGCATGTTCGAGCAAAGTTCTGAGTGCGCTCTTTCCGTTCCCGTGCCGGCCCAGGTCGAATGGCCTTCGGCATATCCCGCCACCGTCTTGCATGGGTCGTGGGTCAGAGTCCTCAGGGAGGCTGCTTGAGGTCTCTTCGGAGCGCTCTCGGGGGCCTCTAGGTGGCAGTTTTCGAGCCTCTTGGGCGCCTCTTGGGGCTTCCTGTGGGCCTCTTGGGTGTCTCCTAGGGCCTGTCGGGGGCCTCTTGGGAGCCTCTTGGGGCCTGCTGAGGGCCTTTCGGGGCCGAGGGCTCGAACTGTCCGTTCGGGTCCCCCGTCTGGCCCCCCTCCTGGAGTCGTCTTGGGGACCTCTTGGGCCGTCTTGGAGGTCTTGTGGGTAGTCTTGGGGCCCTCTTGTGCCAGTTTGGGGCCTCCTGTAGGCCTCTTGGGCAGTCTGGGGGCGATCTTACGGTCCTCTTGGGCCGTCCTGGAGCGTCGGAAAGGCGAGAACGCCAACATCCTTATCAATTTGAGGATCATGAATTAATTGTGCCTCTTCGGCTCTTCGTGGGAGGCCTTTTGAGGCGTCTTGCCGGCATCTTGGGCCGTCTCCGGGCCTCCTTAGGCGTCTTGGAGCGACGTTTCGGCGCATCGGGGCCCTTTTGGACCGTCTTGTGGGCCTCTCGGGGCCCTCGTTGGCCCGTCTTGAGGCCTTCTCGGGCCCGAGCAAGTAATGCGAGAAGGCGCGGGGAGCCCCAGGGTCCCGCGGCAAGCCCCAAGAGGTTTGGCAATTTGGAGTCGGGGCCGCGTAAAGAATCCTCAGAATTGAGGCCTGAGGCTCAAGGGGTTAGGCCAAGGACCTGAGGACACTCCAACTCGCACCTCAAGGGCACGGGGGCGAATTGCTGTTCGTCTTGAAGACGTCGACGGTCGATCCTCCTCGTCCTCGCGCTTGTCTTCCTACTCGTTGTCCTTCTGCTCCCCTCGCTGCGCTCCCCGTCATCCACGCTGCCATCCTCGACATCCGCCGCCTTGTCGTCGTCATCATCCTGCTCTCCTCCCTCCCCCGCACGAGCCCCGTGGACAGCATCGGCGCTTCCCGTCATTGTGCCACCAGGCGCTGCTGCGCCCAGAAGACGCCGTCGGCCGACGGCCTGCGACGGCGGGCAGCGACCCTTGGCTTCCCCGAGGAGAGCTCGCGTGCGCTCCGCGCCCGCGCGCTGGCCGTGCTGCGCGGCTCCCCGCGCCGGGGCGGCTCCGCCCTGGACCTGGTGATGCTGGCGCTGCAGGGCAGGGCGCAGGGCTTCGAGAAGGCCGCCAAAGGGCCGCGGGCGCAGGGCTCATGCCGATTCCTCCGAATCGACTGGATTCGGTTTCCACAGATGCCGAGTCCGAGTCGATTCGACTTCGGATTCCAATCCGTATTCCGAGCCGATTTCCGCCGATTCGAGTTCTCCTGACTCGGCTGTCGACTTCCGCCGATCCGATCCATTTCGATCGCCGATCCGGCTTATCGATTCGATTCTTGGCTCTCCCGCGGGCGCGCGTCTTGCCTCTCTCTCTCTCTCTGAACCCTCTTGTGTTGGGTTCTCGTTTTGCACAGAAGGCGCGAGGACCTTCTGAGACAGAAGGTCCTTGGGGATTTCTGGGTCCTCTCTGACACAGAACGCCCCTCAGAAGGGGCGAGGGCTTCTGAGAAGTGCCGCCGCCTCCTGCGCGGGCCGTTTCCTCTTCCTGTCCCCCCTCGCTCGCCGCCGACCTGAAGTTGGGGGAGGAGTGCCTCGCGCAGCGCGGGCGCGGCGGGCTCGCGCCGCGTCGGCGAGGCGGCGCGCATCCCAGCGTTGGCGTGCACAGCAGATTCGCGTTGTGTCGCCCGGCGGCGACCCCGCCGCGGGCGTTCAAGGTTGAAGGCCGCCAGTGGCCCAGAATCGGCCCACATGGAACGATCGGGCGATCGAAAAAACGCCGATCCACGCGGTATCAGAAAGCAACGCCAGGGTCGCCACGACACGAACTTGCCGTACAAGGCTGCATATCTCGAAGCGGCCAGAGGGTCTGCGCTGGATGGGCCCCGAGAGAATCTGTTAAGGAGGGGGGGGGGGGGGCGATCGGGCGGGGCTACAGGGCTCGTTTCGATTCTGCCGATTCGATCCGATTCGATGTCTATGGTTCCGATTTCGATTCGACTTCGGATTCCGATTGGGACTCCGATTCCTGACTGGAGGGGTAGTAGCCTGCTGGTTTCCGCCGATTCGACTTCTCCCGACTCGGCTGCCGATTTCCGCCAATCCGATTCATTTCGATCGTCGATTCGACTTACCGATTCGATTGTGGGCTCTCCTGGAGGGTCTGCGCTGGATGGGCCCCGAGAGAAGCTGTCAAGAGGGGGGGATGATCGGGCGGGACCAGGACGAGGGTTAATCCTTCCCCGAGCGTTTCAGAACGCTCTCAGAGAGAAGGCCGCGGCGCCCGAGACATCCTCCAGAGCCGCTGGGTTTCAGAGATTCTCGATGTATCCTCACCCAATGTGATCTTCGTCCTGGCCTCGTTGAAGACGAGGGCAACTCCGCTCAAAGTCGGTCCCCGGCCTCCCGGGGTCGAAGCTGACCACTTTCTGGAGCCGCGTCCAGCCGTGGCGGCGAGGGGGGCCCCGTCTCCCCTCTTCTCTACTGGCCAGAGCCACTGCTGGGCCACCTGGGGCCCACAGCTGGCTCCAAGGTGGAACGCCGCCAGTGGCTTGGAGTCGGGCCGACGTCGCGCGGACAGCGCTTTCTGAGAGCCGCGGCTGTCGGATGTCGGCAGGTGTCCCCACGGCGCCAGCTTGCCGTGCCGCCGGGGCGCTGCAGCAGGGGCCCGTGCGGGATCGGGAGGAGCGGCCCGAAGACCTCGGGCCGCTCCCCGGACCTGGGTCGGGGGACCGACTCGCGGCGGAGGCTCGCCGTGGCCAGAGGAGCGCCCCCTCCGCTCCTCGTACAGCGCTCCTTCCGGTGCACTGCGGCTGCAGGCTCGGCAGCACCCCAGGGCGCGCGGGCCCCGTAGGGGCGGCACGCGCGCTCGGAAATCGGACCGTGGCGGGCGCTCTCTGGCCGTGCCGCCTGGGTGACGGAGCATCTGTGAAGACGTTCGTGCTGCATGCTCGGCTCGGACGTGCACATACAATGGGGGTGCGTAGCCACAGGAAGTACATATCTCCGGAGGGGAAGAAACACAGACACAACTAATCGTCGATTCCCAGAACACATGGGAAAATATGGGAAGTGGGGGGAAAGACAAAAACCCAGAAAATATAGAGAAATATTGGGAATCCTGTTATTTGTGTGTATTTATTTGTGTGTCCTGGGGCCCCTTCACACTGCGTCCCGCAGGTGATCAAGCTGATCGATGAGATGATGACGAACCTGAAGGCCGAGCAGGCGCCCGCCGCCCAAGCGCGCAGCGTTGCTAGATGCAGCGCGCCTCGCCAACCGGAGAGGAGGGTCGATGGTCAAGGAGGAGGAGGATGAGCAGGACGAGATGACGAGAGGACGAGGACGAGGACTAGGACGAGGACTAGAACGTGGACGAGGACGAGGAGGACGAGGAGGAGGAGGAGAAGGACGAGGTCCGTAGGTATTTTGGCTCAAGTTGAAACCTCGCGGCGCTGGGGGCTTCAACTTGTCCGCAGATGAGGGCCCTGCTTGAGCGCCCCACGTCATTTGTTTCTCTTCGCCTCCTCACTCACAGCCCACACTGGCACAGGGTGGATCCCGGCGTCAGGAACTCCTGCGGTCGAACGATGCGTGGCGAGGATGCAGCCAAACTCGCGAGCGAACTTGGGGCACCGCCCACGTTCCAGACCCAAGAGCGACTACAACGCGGCTCGGCGAAGGCACCACCAGCCCGGCGGAGCTGCAGCCGTGCTCGAAAGGGTATTCAAAATGGTCCCCAAACTGCTAACTCTTCCTTGAGCCCTTCGTCGGTGGCGCCGGCCGTCGCCAGCACGTCGAAAACATCAAGACGTCGATGTTGGCCGCCACTTCAGCAGTCCAAACCTTAAGCTCGGCCTATGCAGCCACAGCGCCGTCGTCCTGCCAAGGGCGATTTCGTCAGGTGGAGCAGAGGATCGCCACTGCTGAGCACGAGAACAAAGGCTACCACGTTTTGCGTCGAAGTCCTCGAGCGAAAGATGGAAAAGCTCTCGGCCATCCTGGGCACCATGCTGAGCGAGGCTTCCGCCACACCAACCCCACAGCCCGCCAGCTTCGACAAGATGCCTGACCCCGCTGCCATCTTCCGCCGCACCAAGAGCAAGGTGGACACGCGTAAAATTCTGGCCCCCCTCAGTGCTTGATTGCAAAGAAGTGCGTTCACCGACGAAGGCATTTACTTGGAGGCGGGGTCAGTTTCAAAGAGAGTTCTTCTGCGAGACGAGGAAAGTGGACATTGTTGTACAGCTCTTCGCACATGCCAGCAACAAACTGTAAGCGGTCCATTGTCAATAACATCGAGGGGACCCCCGTGGAAATGCATGTTCCGGCGGGCAAGTCGCCATGCAAAGTCAAGCAGGAATTCGTTGACAACCAGTGCCGAAAGCGGGTGGAGGAGTCCTACCCGAGCCACAGGTGCTTTGTCAAAGGCGAACGCGGTGAGTTATCCATCTCGTGGAGGCCGATCTTGCGAGTGGAACCCACACAAGTCGGCGAAACGAAAGGGGGGTGACCGGTGGGTAAGGTTTTGGTGCTCGGCCTCGACCGCCAGCGGATCCACGACCGCATCCAGTCTTTTCATCGGCGGCCCAGTGCAGTCGCAGTGGGGTGGGTAACGCGTTCCTTAGACATCGGCAAGGAAGTCTCCCCCGACCCCGCCCCCCTGTCTCTCGCCGCATGGAACCCCGCTCTCTCTTTCTTCCATGGCCCCCTTCGTCTCCGTTTCTCGGGGGCTCGCCTGCCAGTCCTAGCTCCGTGCGACGGGTGCAGTTGTCAGCCGGCAAGAAGCCCGAGGGCCCCCTTGCGATCTCATAGGCTACACGTGCCATCCTCATGGGCTTGTTCAAGCGTTCAACTCCTTCTGCTCTGCCCCCGCTTACCCAGCTGGTGGCGCGGCCATCTTCCAGCGCAAGTTCGCGGACAGCCCTCCCCAGGATGCGATTGAGGTAATCTTTGAGGAGCTCATCGCGGACAGAGTTTTGAAACTCGCGATCAAGTTTCCCCGAGAAGCAGAATTCGCCCACTACAGCATCCACAACTTCGGGTTCGATTCCAGTGCCAGGGGCTACATCGTCGCTGCGATCGCCAGGGATCGTCGCCGGGCCCAGGAAGCTCTGAATCGAATCATTCTGGTCTTCCAAGAGGACTTCAACGTTTCGTCGCATTCTCTTGTCCCAACCGCATTCCTGAGCAACCCTGACCCGGGGTGCCCTGGGGACCCGACATATTTGCCGATCCCAGAGCGGCATGGTTAGAGCCATGCTGGCAGGGAAGGGTGTTTCGAGTCGCTTGTCGAGTTCTCGGCGGCGGGGCCCGCGCACTTCTGGCGCGCTGTTTTCTCGGGGAAGGAGTTCCTCTCTCCCATGTTGGGCGTCGGCGCGGCTGTCCGCCGCGGTCCTGGCCCGGGGCCCCCTGGGCGTGCCCCGCAGAGTCGGTCTTTCTGATCGCGCAGCGATTGCGGCGACCGCGCAGCCGAGAGTGGAGCTGCGGAAGTCCGACAGAGCGATCCACCCCGAGTTGAACGAGAGTGCCGATTACCGACGATACTTCGGGAAAGTGCAAGAGGTGGCGCACGCGTCTGGCGCGGGCTCCTGCCCCTGCTGGATTTCCAGAGATAGATGGTGAGAGATGTTGCCAGCCGCGCTCGCGATCGCCTCGTTCTCCAAGATGCCTCGCGCACCCTTGCGCGCTGCATCGCTGCGAAATCGACCGGCAAAGTTGTTGTTCGACGCGATTGCATCTTGGGCGGGGAGTTATCCGCGAGGGCTTTGCCCCCCGCCGCCGGCCTCCTCTCCTGGATAAAGGGCCACGCGAGAGCGCAATCATGGGCCTCGGCGCTTCCGTGAAACGTCGCCGGGACTTCGCGCGAAGACGATGAGTAATCGGCAAGACAAATTGAGATTCTGGCTCCGAACGCATGTCCCGAAACAGACATGGTTGTTTATCTGCTCGAGGGGGCGCGTTTTTGGACAGCTTCCGCGAGGTGGACGCGCGGTCACTGGGGCGCGAATACGGCGCAACGCGTTGAGATTGCGGCTTCGAGGCCGCGACCGCGGTGCAATGCATTGGGGCGCATGGCTTCGGAGACGCGGATATTGCGTAATTTGCGATAGCTCATGGCCGCGGGGACACGAATGGCGCGTAGTTCACAAAGGGCCCAGGGCTTCGGAGACGCGAGCATTTTGTGAATTACGAGGGCTTGCGGCTTCCTGGCCGAGGTTGTAGCATATTTTACGATGGTGTATGGCTTCGGGGATCGAATATAACGAAATCGCAATGCAACCCTACAAGGGTTCATGGCCTCGGGGACACGAATGTTGCGTAATTCAAAAGGGTTTATGGTTTACGCACATCAAAGGTGCACGGTTCCCCGGCCGAAGTTCCAGAGTAATTTTCAGGGGCGCGCGGCTTCGGGAACGCGAATATGGCGCAACCCTACATAATTTACATGGGTCGCTGGCTTCGGAGACGCGATTATAATGTAAGTTACAAGGGTTCATGGCTTCGGATGCGCGGATAGCGCGTAAGTTACGAGGGTTTATGGCTTCGGGGTCGCAAATGTAGCGTAAGTTACGCAGGTTTATGATTTCGGATGCGCGACTAATGTTATGTTTAGGAAGGTATGGATTCGGACGCGCGACTTTACTTCGGGTAATTTGCGGGGGTCAATGGCTTCGGATGCGCGAATATAGCGTACTTTGCAAGGGCTTATGGCTTCGGGGCCGCGAGAATAATTTAGTTATTCAGTGGTTCATTACATCGGAAAAGCAAGCATTGTATACTTTAGGCTGATGGCTTCGGAGACGCGAACATGGCGTATTTCACCGCGGATCTCTGGCTTCGGGGACGCGAATATTGCATGATGTAGAAGCGTTTGTGACTTCAGTGACGCATGCATTGTGTAACTTAAGAATATATGGTTTCGGGAGCTCAAATATTGCGCAATTCACGATGGTTCATGGCTTTGGGGGCGCAAACATTGCATAATTTTACGCAGGTGCGCGGCCTCGGGCGCGAATGTTGCATATTTTTGCGTGCCCGACGCCTCCCCCCCCATTCCCGCAGGAATGCAGAGCACGCGATTCGGGCGCGGCAATCTGGGCGCATTTCGACCCCCCCCTCGCGCGCTCAGTAACAATTAACCGTGGGAAGCAGAAAGTGGAAGTATCACATTGGGAACTGGAAGCTGGAACAGGCGCAGGGAACAGCAAACCCTCGTCACACAGCCTGGTGGCCCTGCGAGGGGGCCGGCGGACATCGCTCGCATGCCACTGTTCGAAAGCATCTCGGGCTCGACCCGACGGGCAGGACAGTCCAGCCAGAATTCCCCGACGAGTTTCTCGAGCTGGCCATTGCTCCGCGCGCAGAGGCTAACCGGCGCGCGCAAGGCAACGTTCGAGCCCGTCTTCAGGCCGCCGCCCCCGGGGACGCTAGAGTCTAGGGCTAAGCGTCGGCGACGGGTCCGCGGGCCTCAACGACGAGCTGAACTCTGTGGGGCAAAATTCATCGGCGTTTGTGTATTCGGGGCTTCCGTTTACATGGCGCCATCGGAGCCGGCCCCGAACGGGGCCCCGCGGGGCTCGGAGCGCGCCGGGGGGGGGGGGGGGCATCGGCCAAACCCGCTAGCGAGCAGGCGGCCGGTAGGCGCGTCGTACGACGTGGTTTCGACGGCAGCTTGGCTGACCCCTCCTCGCCCGACTTCGGCCTCGCCGAACGAAATGGCTTGGCTATATGAACACCTTCAGAGACATGCCATCTTCAGCCCCCTTCTCGACCTCGCCTGCACTGCCCGGCTGGCCCCGCCATTTTGGCGCGCGCGTGCGCGCGTTGGGACCTTGGAGGGGGCGTCCCGCCGATGTCTTCTTCGCCCTGAATGGTCCGAAGTCGGCAAGTTGGCCGCCGGTGCCGGGCGGGGCGCCTCGGCGAATCCCGCCGTCGAGCTTCAGAGGACCATGGGCGAGGCACTTCTAGTATACATGTGTATATAGGTGTACATATACATATATGTATATATATGTAAATATGCAGACAGATGTACACACATCTATATACATAAATATAAATATACATACATACATACATCAACAGTACAGAAGTGTATGCGCGCACATGCATACACATATGTATAATAGCGAGGGGGCCGGGCCCCGGCAGGGCCCCGGCCCGCCGGCATGATGTCCGGGGCTGTTTTTGGTGATTATTTGGATGGACCCGGGCGTGTGCAGGCG